TAAAATTAGAAGGTATAATCCCTATTCCATGATGATATATTTCAGCTTTAACATAAATTAAACCCCAAGATTAATTTAAAAAAGATCTGATTTAAATAAAACCCCCAGGTTTTTGTCGGGGGGGTTTAATAGTTGATTTTTATCCACTCTCACTATAAAGTATAGTGGATTGGGTACTCACTTCCCCTTCACTCTCCTTCCACTGATCCACTGTGAGGCATATGGGGGTGGATACTTACTCCCACCCCCTGGTGGCAGTCGCCATTTGTTATCATTTCAAGTTTGTAAGATTCCACTACTGCAAGCCTTTCCATTGTTTTATGCACAAACTGTATTATCAGAAATGCTAATTATTCTACTAACTAAAATATAAAATGGTATTAAAGAGTTCTTTAATATAAGATGATATATGATATGCTGTCTAAAATGTTGCATGTCCAGGCTCTTCAATAGCTTTAAAAATCATATAAAAGGGATCTGAATTATGAAGGAATTTCAGGTGGGATGCAGAAACCATTCTAAGATTATTAGTTTGGGTTTGGCCATGGAAGGTAGAAATCAATGATGGTGTGACTTCTTTGGGCATTAAGTGAATTTGTGGCCTTATTTGAATCCTAGGAATTAAACTACTTGATTATTTTTGCCTTGACATTACCTGAAGAGTGCATTGTATTCTGGCCCCTCTTTGTATCCTGCTCTTTGCTTCTTGGTTCTTCTCAACTATCTTGATAGACATGTATTTTGTTGACCAATACTTAAGACCATATGCCTTCAAACCTATTTTACTATATTGCTTCTTATAAAAAGAGCCTTATTTTACCACTACTTCCTTTTTTGGGAAGTCACCTATTGGGCATGTATTTTATTGTATTGTCCGTGAGGCACAGCTATATTAAGAGATGCTTTCTAGGGCTGTGCAAAATTTCACTGCCAGTTTTGTTTCAATGCTGTTTTGACCCATTTTGAGGTTGAAACAGCAAAACTGAAACAGAACAGATATGGTCGAAAGAGCCTCAAAACAAAATGAGGCAAGTCGAAACGTTTTGCCGTTTTGATGCTGTTTTCTATGTTTTGCCCATAGGCTATAATGGGGAAGGTTGAAACATCCTGTAACTTTGTCATTTCTGGCCTGATTTGGATGAAACTTGCAGAGGGTTTGGGGAAACTGCACTCCAAAGTTTTGAAAGCAAAGCTTGTGTCAAGTGTATATGTTATGCCACGGTGGGGTCAAAACTGCAGGCATGCTAGCCCCTGCGGAAGCCACAAAGCCTGCCACATTTCAAAGATATAGGTGCAGGGTTTTGGGGGAAACTGCACCCCTTGAAACATGGCAAGCTTCATGTGCCCCTTCAAAACCCCCTTTAGAAACTACAATTCCAAAAAACAAAACAAGGCTGTCATAACTGCTATAGGCCATGGACCATAAGGCAGTTTCAGCAGCATTTAGGACAGGGGCAGGCAAAATCTGGTCTGTGAGCTGGATCAGGCCCATGGAAGACTCCATTTCCCAGAAGCCCCTGACTGCATCACTGCAGCCAGTTTCCATGGAGACCCCCGTAGCAGTGGGGCTATGACAGTGCAGCAACCAGGGTTTCCACAGAGACTGACCCCAGCAGTGTTGGTAGGTGTGCGTGGCCAGGAGAGGAGCTGGTCCAGGGCCGCAGCAATGTGGGAAGAGGTCGCTGGAAAATGGAATCTGGCCGCTAGCTGGAACTGCCATACTGCCCATCCATGATTTAGAGCCATTACAGTGAGATCTTTGTATTGCTTGCCCTTTTGAGACAAAAGGTATGCACCTGACTCTACCAGTAAGGATTCCACATTAACAATATGGTTATGTTTGTGAAAACTGGAGGAGGCAAAAAGAGGTAAGCCAATGACTATTCCAAATTGTGACTTATGGTGGGGATGGAGAAGAGAAAAAATTCTTCTGGACAGGTCCAGTAGTTTTGACTATTTATTTCAGGATTGACCTAAAATTATCCATCTACAAATTGCCTTCTCAATGACAGTAATGACCAAAATGGAGTGAGAAAAACTCAGCCCCTCTACCAGGAATCTAATGCTTCTTTTCTACTCTCCTAACAGATGGACAGCAAAGGAGCTGGCATCTCCCACTTTTAATTTGTAGTCCATAATGATCTCATTGATAGACAGACAAGCACTTGTTGAATTGGACTGCAGTAGGAAGTCAACTACGTGAAGACTGACTTACTGACTTCCTGCCAGGAAATGTGAATGGTTTATATAACACAACATATCAGTCCCTGAAATCATCCATCTAATAGGAGGGAGGGGAGGCTGGGAATAGAAATCTCATCTCAGGGAAAAAATGAGAATTGATCAGTTTCTTGTAGATCACCACGATTCAAATCTGGATCTAGAGAATCCTCTTAGCTGTCTCTGTTTTTGTAGTACTAACCCAGAGTCTGAGATGTCAAGGTTGATAAGGAAAACAGGAGAAGACCAGATATATCAAGTACAGAAACAGCTTGGAAGTCTCAAGCCAATAAAGCCACATAGGAAGAGTCAATCTCCATAGCTTGTGGCACAGTGAAGGGATCTTAGGCCAATTTTTCAAGTCAGAACCGTGGATACAGTAATGGATAATGGAGCAAACTTTACTACAGGCAGTCGAGGTAAAAAGTATCCAACTGTAGCATAAAACCCCTCAATACTACAGTGGACTGGGTGGCCCATGAAGGAAATGGGTACACCAGGAAGTAGCATGGGGTTGGTTCCCAAAAATCCCTTTGCACTCTCCACAAGTTTTAAAACTGAAGCAGAAGTTGCTCTGTGGAAGAGATTCAGAGGTGCATCAGGGTTGCCCCAAGCCTTTCTGATAGTCAGACAAACACTGTCTGAGCTGGAGGTTAATGCCAGAGTTTCTGTAAGCTTCAGTGGTAAACTTACAAGACTCTGAAATCTCAAATTTCAAATGGGTAATGTGAGGACAAGGAAGACTTTTTCAAGAAGGCCTGAACAGGGACCTCTCCCAGGAACCAGTCTGAATGCCATGACTTTTGCAGGTCTTTCTGTAGCCAGAAAGACAGAGCATCTGGAAAACTCATGATAGTCAGATGAGTCTCTATGCCCTGAATCAGAATTAGATCCTTTAGTTATCCAAAAAATGTATCTGAAACTAGATTTCACATCCTTGAAGGTTCTTTATTTTAGTAAAACAATATCAGAACATTTCTCAATAAGAGAAGATGCATGCCCATCAGATAAAGGCACAGCAACATTACAGGATTGGCACAGTTCAAATCTCAGGAAAGAGGCTAAAATGAGAAGAAATAAACAAAGCTAGTAAGAAAAGATGCTTAACCTAAGGGAAAGGGAAAGAATTAATGAGGGAGCTAGGGGAAGAAAGCACTGTACGGCTGTACGAAATGGAATGCTGCCGTTTCTACCAGTGTTTTGACGGAACAGTGTTTTGTTTCGAATTTTGTTTTAATTCGAAACAGCTGTTCCGTTCCATTCCATTCCATTGAAACCGGGTTGAAACAGCAAAACTTTTTTTGACGTTTCACCCATAGGATATAATGGAGAAGGACAAAACAGCCTATAACTTTGTCATTTCTGTCTTGATTTGGAGGAAACTTACAGGAATTAGTAGCCCCATATGGGTTGCGCCTGCCTTCCTGCCACCCCTCCCATGGGTTGCACCTGCTCTTGCTACCCTCATGGGTCCCCCCTGCCCCCCCCCCCTGGGGTTCCCCCTCCTTTTGCTCCCCCCATGGGCCCCCCCTCCCCCCCCCCCCCAACCCTTGGGAAAAAAACCGCCCCCCCCCCCCTGGGTTGCCCCCCCCCTTTCCACCCCCATGGGGCCCCCCCGCCCCCCCCCCCATGGGTTGCCCCTGCTCCCCTTATCCCTAGCAGGTTGCACCTGCCCCTCCATCTTCTGGTGGACTCCTGATCTCCTCCAGCCTGCTGGACCCCCAGCCCTCCCATACCCCACCCCCATCCTGACTTGCCTGATATCGGGAGCCATTTTGAATTG